ATATATATTAAATATTATATATGTGTCTGTGTGTGTCTCTGTGTGTGTGTATAAAATAATCACTTTATTCTGCTCTTTCCCCTTGTCTAGTGAAACCAAAATGTTTTGAATGCAGGATCGGATGGCTTTCCTTCAAGACATACTGCTACCTTCTTTATGGAGGACAAGAGTTGAAGTCTTGGGACGAAGGTCGACAGTACTGTCGGGAAAATGGTGGAGACTTGGTTGTAATTGATAATCTGGAGGAGCAGGTAAAATATAACGTCACCTCTACTCTTGAAATTTAAAGTTAATCTGGAAGATTGATAACTTGACAACACTGAATCATATGTGCTAATTGAATCAATATCGCTTAATTTTTAAAGTCTCAATAGAAAACAAAGAGGAGAAGGCGTTGCTTCAATGCATAAGAACTTCTTAAATATATATTTTTAGGTCATTTTAACTCTTGAATGTCTGGCAATTGAGGTACAAGGCCATAAATGATCTCTGATACTAACTGTGTACAAAACCCCAATGTGTGGAAAACCTCTTTGACTTTAATGAGCTTTTGTCTCTTATATACACCAATTATGACTGTTTAATAATTGTGGGAGATTTTATCATCCATGTTGACAAGCCCAAAGACAGAGAGGCAAAAAGTTGTGATATTCTTGATCATTTTGGTCCAATTCAGCATGTTAAACAATCAGCACACAATCTAGGACACGCACTGATAATCGGGAAGGGTGTGAATATTTCCAGTGTCTCTGTAACTGATGTCGCCCTGTCGGATCATTTCGCTGTTATGTTTTAAAATACTTTCTCCACTGACTCACTTAGTAAAATGGCCACCATCACAAAATGTTCTTTCACAGACGACACAGCAGAAACCTTTAATCAATTATAGTTCATCTCGACTTTATGTAACCATGACGATGAGTTGGTAGAAATCTTCCATTCTAAAATTTAGACATTAAGTTTTAGAATGTAATGTCTAAATTCTAAAATTTAGACATTACATTCTAAATTCCATGTCCATTAAAGTGAAGTTTTAATGGCCTTCACTTCACAGTGAAGTCCAGCAAATGCTAGAAGGTGGGATTTGTGTGAGGACAGACGGATAAAGCACTCAGGAGGAGGAGGATGAAAGAGAGTAAAAGGCTGCCAGATGTGAAGAAGATGTCCAGAATTTATGCCAGAAACAAAGTCTTGAAGAAGGTCATTTCAAAAGCTCTGATGGGGAGACCACAGAGCACAGCAATCCAGGAAACACCTGGAAACGGAAAACATTCAGCGTGAACAGGTTCAAAAGAACAAGGAGAATTTCTGCCCCTCAGAGGCCTTGGTCAGGCAGCCAGCTCTTTTTGTACAGCAGTTGATGAGTGTTGATGAAGTGCAGGTGTGGCAGAGCACATCTGCACTTCCACACCTCCACACCTCCTGGCGTCGTCTAGTGGGTAAATTATGAACACAAGGACACAAACCACCCTCCTGACATATTCTGGTTCTGCTCTGCATCCAGAACCAAACGAGGAGAAGCAGCATTCAGCTTCTGGAACAAATCTGGAACAAACTTCTGGAAAATTGTAAAACAGCCGAAACACTGAGTTCCTTTAAATCTTCACTACAGACCCACCTATTTAGAGTTGCTTTTGAAACATTATAAATGAAACAAACATTTTGATGTGTAATAATGGTATTTGACAAAATGTGACGCTTCAGTTGTTAACTGTGTTCAATGACTTTATAGATTTGTGTTTTTATGATATAAAACACTTTGAATTGCTTTGTTGCTGAAATGTGTTAAAAATAAACTTGATTGATTGATTGATTGGTTGAAGTAAGAAGATTTATGAGTCTAAAATAAAATCTGTTCACAGGAATTTATCACCTTGTACGCCAGTTTATCATTATTGACGCCAGCAAATTCCTGGATAGGGTTACATCTTACGCCAAAAGGATGGTTCTGGGTTGATGGACGTAGGAACACTTTTGAGTAAGAACTATTATCTAAAAATATTATTTAAAGCTGCAGTATGTAACTGTTATAGAAAATATTTTTTCATATTTGTTGAAACTGTTGTCATGTCCTAACATGGTATCAGACAGATAAGATGTGAAAAATTGGGCTCCTCTGCCTTCTCCCAATGCTCTGAGTGCTAACTAGAAACAACCAATCAGAGCCCAGGGGCGGGTCTTAGCACTGTCAGTCACAATCTAGTGTGGTGATGCTGGTCAGCCTCTTCTTCACCCCTTGCTCTCTGCGACTGCTTTTCTGCCTTCAGCAGATCCTGCTGTGAGTGCTCAGGCTAGTTAGCATAGCCACTGATGGCAGCTGATATGGTTTTCCTGTATAACAGTAAGTTGTTTCTCTGCCATTAGCACATTTATCAGAAATTAAATGATAGTAAAACAACAGTTTTACCAAAATCCTAAATTGCTGTTGGGGTTGAAAAATTTATGCATGTCCTCCCTCTTTCTTACAACCCAGTTTTCTGTCAAATAAAGACCACTAGATGCAAGATAATCCTTTTGAAAAATGTATCCTTAAAGTATTTAGATTTTCAAAATAAAATCTATAAAGTTTGTAAAACAACTTTATTTACAAAGCATTTTCTTTTCAAGTGTGTGTTTATTCATATAGAGACAACAACACATGCTGACACTTTTCAGTTTGATGTCAATAATCTACTGTTCTCAGGTCCATGTTTTTTTCTTAAAGCTTCTGGATAAAAGGGATTCCCCATACTTCTGGAGCAGCGCTGCATATCGCACAAAGAAAACCCACAGAGAACTGGAAAGCAGAAGGCAAAGCTGTGAAGAACAGATTCTTCTGTGAGCATCCGATTATTAACTTTCCCTATCACGAACAGATCTCAAGTTTCAATGAGACATACTCATAAATAAAACCATAATCTCATCTGTTGGACTGCTGAAGCAATTTTTAAGATTCTTAAACTTCCTCCATTTCCTGTTTGCTCATCTGAAGAAACTGTTAAAGTTAAACTCATCATTTAGCTTCTTAGTTTTGTTTACTGTTGTATTAAATTAGGGCCTTATCGATCCTTTTTATCGTTTAATTTGAGGCACTTTTTGTGCTTCAGAGGTATTTGACACATTAAGGCTGCGTTCTCACTGCAGGCCTTAATGCTCACTTCCGATTGTGTCATGAAATCAGATTTTTTGTTTTGTTTGGTTGTTCACATTCCAAATATATGCCACTTGTATGTGATCCTCCATGTGAATCACACACGACATAAAAGTGACCCGCATGCGCAGTAGAGGAAGCAGGAACGTCACATAGAGAGTGCTCAGTGTTTGTGGAAGTAAAGATGGATGCTCATGGTGGAGCCCATCTGGTTATTTTAAAGTTGTTGTCCAACCGGAGCCATCGCATTAACAACTTAAAGCTCATTATCGTCCA